TGTTTGAATAAACATGTTTAGGTTGTTAACACCGGTACAACAGATCATATCATTTCTTTTATAGATTTGTTTGATTCTTATCACACTATCATTGATGTGACAAGTATAACTACTAACTAGAAATAAAGTAGTGTTACATACATTAGTCATGTTATAATTTTTCCATCACTCATTCTATTTGATTTCTTATTTGTTCCTACTTTTCATTATAACTTAATATCTATAAGCAAATTTGTAGCATCATAATATTATGGATTGATATTTACTAGCAATTCTTATCTAATTCAAGACTTTCATTCTTAGACAATGATTGGACTTGCTAGACTTCACTCATGATTGTTTCTTTTATAATCGAGCACTTCTACTTAGTCTATTGTTTGTTCGTAATCTACATAGCCTTCTATCAATATGTCAATAAATAACCTTGTTAGTAACTCTTTTGACCAGAGTGCAATTTTAAGTTGGGACATACTTTTACTAATAAAATGAAAATTCTACAACAATCTTATTCAAATATTTAGTGTAGTTTGAATTTTCCTATGGTTTGTCCATTAGCTAAGAAAAAATGATTGTCTTTTTGTTACTCATGTTAGAAATACTACAAAACCTTATGAGCTTGTTAATATGCATATATTGGCTCTGCATTTTGTAGTGGCTATTGATGGCTTCCATTACTTTCTTAATGAAAATAAAGGGTGATATATCTCACATTGTACCTTCTTTGTATAATTTAATAAAAAAATAGTTTGATTTTTCAATTTTACAGACTTAGAACTTATAATGGTCTAGAATTCCATCTACTTGACTTTTATCATTTTAAAGGAATAATAGATAGTTGAAATACCTCAACAAAATGCAATAGTAGAAAAAAAACATCAATATATACTTGTTATGGCTAGATCACTTCTTTTTTCCGACATCTCTCCTCATAAATTCTAAGGGCATGCAGTATTAATAGTTACTTACATCAGCAATAGATTACCTAGCCTTGTTCTTTAAAATATCTATCCTTATAAACTTTTTTTTTCACAAAACCCATAGTTATAATTATCTTAGAGTTTTTGGTTTGTTGTGTTTTTCTTCTACACTTGCTTATAATAGAAAAAATTCCATCTAAGAGCTAAACCTTGTATCTTTGTTGGGTATCATGTTGGAATCAAACGTTATAAGCTCGTTATCTTCATATTCATACTATATTTGTTTCTAGGGATGTATTTTTTCACGAGAATATCTTTCCTTACTCTAATAATCCTTTTACTCATACTACCATATTACTTCTATCCATATCAATCTATTTCTCTATTTGATTTTTTCTCAAATATCATCAAAGTATAATTCTACTAGTTAGAATGATTTTGTTGCTCCTATATCAACCTATTCAAATGATCATGATCTTCTAATAATAATTCTAATCATAATAATGAGAGTTTAGAATATACAAATCATCATGATCATGCTTTTGTTCCTTCCTCTCGTGAAGAAGATCTTGGTAGTTCAATTGTAACTCCTATTGCATAATATAATTCATCTTTAAGAAGAAATACTAAAACTTTAAAAATACATATTTACCTTAGAGGTTATGAACACATGATTAAGCATGGTGTTTCTATTGTTTATAAAATACCTTATCCTTTATGTTATTATGTTTTTAATGTTTTTTTTTATCTTCTATTCATAAATATTTTAGTGATTCTCTTTCTTCTATTTTTAAGCCATAAACTTATTATGAGATTTTGTTAAATTTGCTCATTGGAGAGAAGCTATGAAATTTGACATTGATGCTTTGGAGGATAATCACACCTAAATTGTTATTCTTTTATCTTCTAGTCAATATTCAATTAGTTGCGAGTGGGATTATAAGGTTAAGTTGAAGTATGATAGGAGTATTGAGAGGTATAAAGTCGAGCTAGTGGCCAAAGGATACAATCAATTAGTGGGGTTTGATTATCAAGAAACATACAATCTTGTGGCTAAGCATAATACTGTAAGGGTCTTATTAACTTTAGCAGTTATTCATGACTATCACATCTCACAACTAAATGTCGGTAATGCTTTTCTTAATGGTGATTTGGTTGAATAATTTATATGAATTTGCTCCTGGGTTATCAAGTGCGAGAGGGAGTAAGTACCTAATTCTCATTTGGTTTGTAAATTTCACAAGTCTTTATATGGTTTGAAATAGGCTTTTAAATAGTGGAATTGCAAATTCATGGATGCACTTTTAAAGTTTAGACTCATTCAATCCAAATCAAATTACTCATTATTTGTGCAAAGAAAGACATAAATTTTTCTCTATTTTCTTATCTATATGGATGATACGATTACAGACGAAACAATTCTACTTATACTATTGATGATTTGAAACAATTTTTAAATCTCAAGTTTAAGCTAAGAGATTTGGGAAATTTGAAATATTTTCTTGGCATTGAAGTTGTGAGATAAGTGAGAGGAATTTCAATTTTTCAAAGGAAATATGCTATGGATTTGTTAGAAGAATATGACTTTTCTAGCTCTAAACCAATGTCTACACCCATGGATCAAAATCACAAATTATCAAATAGCATTGATTCAGATCCTATGGACTTTACAATATACGGACAACTAGTTAAAAAGTTGTTGTATTTGACATTCATTAGGCTTGATGTCACCTATGCAACACATGTTGTCATAATTTCTTGATAAACCTTTAAATATACATATGCAAGTTCGCTCATAGAGTGTTGAGATACTTGAAGAATGCTCTTGGACAAGACTTGTTGTTTTTCGTTGATTCGGAGCAACATTCAAAAGCATATTTAGATGGTGATTGGATAGGATTTCTAGACACAAGAAAGTCAGCAACATATTTTTGCATATTTCTAGAAAAATCATTAGTAAGCTGAAAATCTAAGAAACAATCCTTAGGGCCAAAAGTTCAACGAGAGGTAGAATATAGATCCATTACATCTATAACATGCGAAATGGTTTGGTTGTTGTCACTATTATCGGATTTTGGGCATTTAGGTATTCAATCGAGTAAAGCTACACTATGATAACTCGTTAGCTCTTCATATTTATAAAAATCTAGTGTTTCACAAAAGAACAAAACATATAAAAATTGATTGACATTTTATGAGAGAAAAGGTAAGCTGCAGGGGTAACCAAATTAGAGTTTTTGCCTACAAGTCTTTAAGTTACAAATATATTCATTAAAACTTTGCATCTAGGACCATTCATGTTACTTTTGATCAAATGAAAATCATCAATATATTTGTTGATGTTCGTTGTTCATCTTGAGGGAGAGTATAAAAAGAAAAATAAAGTTACAAATAGTTAATTAATTCGGTGGTTAGTTAGTAATTAACTTAGTTAATTAGTCAATAGTTGGGTAGTTGACTAGTTCATTAGTTTCTTCTCTTACTTTATTGTTAGCATCTATTATATAACTCTTTTAACTCATTTTCATTTTAATCAAGTAAAGAGTGCAGAATACACATTAAATTTTTATCTCAAATTCAAATTCAACTTTTCTTCTTATCAATATTCATTTTCAAGAGATTAGTTAATTATTTTCGGACAATTGATATAATATAGGAACTAAAATATATTAATTTATGCTGAAACTACGAGCCGAGTTTGATAATTAGCGAAACAAATTCAAGATTTCCATGCAAAAACCGGAATTCAACGAGTTTCAACTCGAGGGAAGTCCTCCATGACAAAACTCCTAATTTCCCTTTACGTCCGCAATTTGAAACTAGACAATGAGACAAAAGGAATGAGGTATTTAATTGTTTCAAATCTTGTGGTTTTCCGCATATTGTCACCATAAATGCACTTATGAATGGGGATGGCAATGGGGCGGCCGGGGATCGCCATCCCCATCCCCGCCCGCCCCTAAAAAATTTCCTCATCCCCACGGGCCAAACGGGGCAAAAATTATCCTTTTTTTTTTTTTTTACAAACCATATCACGTAAGAAATTAATTGCTTTGCTTGAAGAACTATAAACTTCTTGCCTAAAATATATTCAATAAATCTAAAGAGAAGTTGTCAAGACATAGATCTGGATGGATGCAAAAAAATAAAAAAGATGATATCAAAAAAAAAGCAAGTAATCACATGGGACAAAAGTGACTAAGTCACTATACACGGGACAAAACGTGGCAAGGCGGTCAAATTCCATCCCCGCCCAAAAAAAAAAAAGAGGCGAGGTCGGGTCGGGTCGAGTTCAATTGCCATCTCTATTTACGAACACAATTTTCCCAACTTCCACGTAAGTAAAAATTGGTGGACTTTTAATTCTTAACATGTCATCGGATTTTGTAAAATCCAACAGAATTTTATGGATTTTCCAACTGTATTAAGGCCAAGAACAAGTAATTTAGGTGGAGCACGTACAAATCTATCTATCTATCTATCTATCTAAAAATGCATGAATAAATTTAGTAAATAAGATAAGATTTTAAATTTTTAGACTAGAAAAGGGTTCTATTATGTTAATGAATTTCTTAACACTAATATTTTAAAGAAACCTGATGATTTTGTGTTTTCAATACAAGATAGAATGCTTGAAAGGCGGAGGGGGAAAAAAAACACGAGTTCATTTAGCAGTACTTAATGAATAGGTAATGAATAGGTACAATTTAATTTTGCAATTCTTTCAATAAAGGATACATAGACCTTCAAAAATCTTAAATGTTAGTAAGCATATATCAATATTTAACGAATTTTTCCTAAATTAAGGACACCTCTGGTTAGAAGATGGCCTCGCCCTTGCATGTGGATGAATTTTATATATATAAAATAGTTAGTAGTTATTTATATGATGAAAGAAGGAAAATGTAAAGAATCCATGGTGGGCTGATTTGGGTTTAAAGTTTAAACAGCTTACTGTAGATAAGAGTCAAGCCCAGTTACTTGGTCTTTCGGATCCAAAGCCTTTATCTATCTTTGCCACTTTGCCATAGATAAACTTAGGAAGCATACCTTCCCTCTGAGAGAGAGAGAGAGAGAGAGAGGATGGAGTCAGCAAGGTCTAAAATCTGCATTGCTACTTCACCAAAGCGACATTCACATCGCCTCTTATTTGATCGCCGTTACGGATGGGTGTAATTCTCTTGCGTTCTTTCTTTCTATATGTTTGGAGTGCATTTTCGAAACAATAAAGGATTCTTTTGACTGAATTTTGTTGTGTGGCGTGGCAGATTTGATGAATGGAAAGACCCATCAGAGGAAGCTTTATCCGGAGGCCGAGGAATGTATGTACTCTCCTACTACTTCGACTTCTACTTTTCATGGGCTTTTGTTATTTTTTGTAAATCAGTGCCTTTTGTTTTGAATTTATTCAACAAAAAACAGGTTTTGCATATTGCCTCTATCCAAAGCTTTCTTGAAGACAGCTTCACAGTCGGTACGTTGGCTTTTTCTTTCTGTTTCATTAATTTATCCTTTTTAATCCTCTTTTGCTTTTGTAGTTTGTTCTATGTGACTAATTCTATTCATCTTTGAGTAAAGAACAGTGGAGGGATTGACTGTTTAAATTCCTTTTCACTTTTTTATTCAATCTGTTTCAATTTATTGACTATTGATACATTATTTGGAGGGTCCTATTTTTTTTGGTGATTGGATTATGCCCATTTTAATGTGTATTCTGTAAATAGTTGTGGGAAAACGTATTGCAAATTTTAACTAATTGCAGAGAGTAAGATAATTTTCTTTCCGCTTGATAAGTTTTTAGATTACAATATGGGCTCTGGTACTCTATGTTCAATGAACTTCTTTAAGGATGTTTTTACGGATTAAATTTGTAATGAAAGCAAAATTGAGTCTGACATACAGTCTAATAAGCTACATGGTGGTTGCACCAACAGAAATTGGTGTTGGTCTTTTCAGCTTGAAGCAAAGAGAACTTGCACAATAGTAGTAAAAAGCTCAAGAAAGGTACCCTGTATTTTCACCTGAAACACTTGAGGAAAAATGTTCGCCTGCTCTTAGTATACTGCTTGAAAGCTACAGAAAATGGGAAATCAAGGATAGCTGCAGTACAAAGGGAAGACGTTTTAAACCTCTCTTGTATAAACTATCTCTCCATATCAACTTATTTGCTCTATTACCTTCTGAATTTTTCATTTGAGTTTAAAAAGGTAATAGAGCAAATTAAAAAAAAAAAAAAAAAAACTTAAGCCATATTGCAGAGGCCAGAGCTCTGGCATGTTTGGAGATTAAAAAAGGGTAAGGGTATGGAAAACTATACATGTTCCTCACTTCCATCCTCATCAGCATCAGATTATAACAATGGAGATAAAATGATTTTCCTGGTACTGGTAGGGCCTTAGCATAAGCTGTCCCATTAGAGCCAATCATGCTTCCTTCGCTTGATAATACTCATTTAATTTGCTTATTGCCAAATTAGCAACTGGAAGTGGAAAACTGATGCTTTCTTTGAGACTTTAACACTTCTATCATTCCATCATTTATTGCAAATTATGCCCTTTGTGCTTTCCAGTTATTTTGTCATGCAAAAGAACAAGAAACTAAAGTTGAGATATTTGCTGATCATTATGACTTTGCAATATCTGAAGTTCCCATGGGTTACATTTAGAGTGAGCTTACTGATGGGTATTTTTCCTTCCATACACAGCGAAAGGACTTTCTTCTCCATTCTGGCTACCATATGACCTGCATGAGTACTTTGTCTTTATTTTGTCTCTTGTTAGTGATCTTTGATATCTTTATCCTCAAGTAGATGAAATGCATATGTCTCATGAATGATGTCCACTGTTGCATATGTTCCTTGAAGATTTTCTATTTCTTCATTGTTAATATCAAGAAACTTAACTTTTGGAGGTAATTCACCATTGTAATCTGTCCCCCCACCTCTTACTCATTTATTGTTTCTATATCCTAACAGATTGACCATGCAGCAAACTTTGCTGTCAAAGTTTTTGATAGTCCAGATCTTCTCTCCCCTGAAGCACTGCAGACCAGCCTCAGCAGTCAGCTAAACAAATTCAAGTCTTCGATTGAAACAACCAGAATTCAATTGTTCTGCAGTCAATGAACATTCATTACAAGCTCCAACTTCCCCTCCACATCTGTAATTTGAAACTAGAAAATCTCAGATGGATTGAAGTGTTTAAATTTCTCCCAATTTGTTTTCTTGTGTACTTATCCTATGTTTTCAGGCCTATTCACGAAATCTTACATTTAGAAACTTTTACATTAGCTGTGTAATATTTACTGTTGCTGTTATTTGTTCAGCAATAGTGGGTACGGTCATCTCTTAATAGACCCTCATCATCCTTCAACGGATTTACTTTACTTTCAAAGCATCATCAAAGATCAGCAGTCGACAAGATCACCCTTTAATAGGCCTTCATCATTCTCCAAATACAAATTCGAGCTGAGCTTTGTCACAGACACAGGTATAAACTTATGATAAATTCGAGTTGAGCCTTGTTGCAGACGCAAGTATATGCTTATGACAAGTGCGAGTTGAGTCCTATCTATTATTATAAGTTTATCACAATTTCGAGCTGAGTCTTATACCCCAAGTATATGCTTACGACAAGCTCGAGTTGAACCCTATCACAGAAACAGGTATAAGTTCATGATAAATTTGGGTTGAGCCTTATCATAGACACAAGTATAAGCTTCACATGAAAAAAGGATGAAAGTCAAAAAGTGGACAAGAAATCTTAGTAGGATTTTGAAGTCTATGGGTTGCTATAGCTCAAGGTCTACGTACTTATTATTTTGGATTTTTTTTATTAGAGTGTTGAGCTTGTAATTTTTATTTTATAATTTGATGGGTGAACTTGGACCTAAAATTCAAATTTGTTTTTTACTTCATTTTTACTAGATGAGGGTCGTGCAGGTGGATTGTTGGTCGATGTTGAAGGAAGTTTTTGTTGATTCAATTTTTTTTTTCTATATTGTTTTGTTTCTTTGTGTTATTTGTATTCGATTGTTTTTTTTATTAAATTGTTTTGGATGGTATTATTTTTTGAAAATCAATTAATATGGGTGTTTATTGACTTTTTTATGGAAATTTGATTGGGCTGTTTTTTTTTTTTTTTTTAATAAAAAAGTTATATCATGCAATGTTTGGGATATAGCGAGGTATGATGTTCAAAATACTGTAGGACAGCAGTTTTAATATATTTGTTTATTAATTATTGTTGTTGAAATAGTGTGTTGTGAATAATTTGGAACAACAGTTATAACCGGAGGTTAGATATTTATTTTCTAAGTAATTAATGTTTATGTTTTTTTATAAATTTTATGTTGAAAAGAAATATATATATATATATATATATATGCAAAACCCTACACAGGGCCTTTTCCAGTAACAGCTATTTCTTCTACAAAAATTTTGAGTTTTCCCACAATTGCTTCTTCAAAAAATACTCAAATCATTTCTCCACAAAACACTTTCAAAAAATCTGAGTCGCTTTATTTTGTCAAACCATCTTCACAAAACGTTTTCACCGTTGAAGATGGATATTATTTTGGAAACCCAGCCTTGGTGGTACAAAAATATTTCGGTATATATATATATATATTTTTTGGTTGAATGCTTTGTTTTCCGTAATAATTACAATTGAAAAATTACTTATGGTTTTTTTTTTTCAAACGATAGGAAAACGGGGAAAAATGTGTTTTTGAATTGTTTACTTTTAGAGTTAGAGAAAAAAAAATTTATGATCATAATTGATATAAGTTACAAGAGAAATGTTAAATTTGGAAGTTAATTTTTTATTATATGAGTAATGTATGTTTATACTTTTTTTTTATAAATTTTGTGTTTAGATGAAACATGGGTTTTTTTTATTGGTAAAATAATTGTTATGTAGAGATTTGTTAATATTGAATTGAAAACTATGTTAACAATTTAAAAAAAAAAAAATTAAAAGTGTTTATTAGTGTAATTGTTGCATATAAAGTAAGACATTAGAAAATGATTTTTTTCTTTTTTCTTTTTTTTAATTTTCATGGGACGATAATCTTTTCAAAACATGCATGTTTCATTTTTAATTTGTTTTAAATTTTTCTTCTACATATATTAAATGTAGAACTGTGTAATTCAATTTATAATGTGGTTAAATACACGTTTTTTTGAAAAAAAAATTAACTGTTTAATGATAAAGGTAATGTTAATATTTTGGTTATAACTAGTTTTTTTGTTTGCACTACGCTACGGGTTGGATAAATTATATAAAATTATTTAAAAAATCGTTTTAGTTTAATAGTCTGTTTTATGGTGTGAATCTATAAAAATATATGAAATAAAAGGTAAAAAAATTATTTAATTATTTCTTATTTGTATTTTTTTTCATAATTTTTCCTTTAGTAAAAGGATTTATTCTTGTTAATCCATAGATCATCAACTAAAAAGAAAATTAAATAATTTTTTTTTAAAAAAAAGCTTTAGTATTTCTTAAGATTATGTCAAAAAACATTAATAACGAGTTATTAAAAGCTTACATAGAATTGAACAAATTATTTTTTTTATTTAATATTGATGAGAATATCGGTTTTTGAAAAAATATGAATTTAATTTTTATATATTTATTTACAAAAGAATGAATAATATTAAAATAAAAATATATATTAATTTGAATCATTGAGTGGTTAAGCCAAAACATAATTTTAATTATTTAATTTAAAATAAGTTAATTTTAAAATATTCAAAAATCAATAAATAAATAGTAAATGCTTAGTATAGTAGTAGTTGCACAGTTAATTTCTAAAAAAATAATGGTTCAATATTTTTTTTATACATCATAACTATACTAAGTGAGTTCGTAGTTTTCAATTTAAAATACAAAATAATATATATAAAAAATTTAACTTGCAAGAAATTTATTGACTAAATTTGAAGTTAATAGTCTAAAATAAAAATTTGTACGAATTTTATTTCGGTTAATTTTGATTATATAAAGAAGAAACAAATTAATAAAACATGTGAATTTTTTTCTTTCTTTTTTCCTCCTTAAATATTTTTTGATTTCTATGCTATGCATAGCTAGTACTTGAATATAGGCTTCACGCGGAGAGTAATCATCTTCTTTTTATTTTTAACATTTGACTTTCAATTATTAATTAATTAATTTGAGTTTTTTTTCTAAAAAAAATGAGAAAAAATTATTTGAAATACATTTTTTATCCAAAAATATATTTTAGATAAATTATATATATATCAATCATGCCACTATAATTTAAAAGTTATGTGAATCTATTTTTCAAAAGAAAAAATAATCATGTTCTAAAACTTTATTCCAAAATCCATACATATAGAAAAATAAATCAAAACTATCAATAAATATAATTTTAAATTAATTGGATGAGAATTAAAAAATAAATAAATAAAATTAGTAAATTTTAAATAATAAAAATAATTAACGAAAAACACTAAAACAAAATGGGACCAAATCACAATATAATCAAATTTTGAAATTGAAAAAAAAAAAGAGGATTTAAAAAATGACAAATTAATGTAGTAAATTTTGAATAATAAAAAAAAATGAGAAAAAATTATTTGAAATACACTTTTAATCAAAAAATGTTTTTCGGAAAAATGATATATATTAATCATGCCACTATAATTTAAAAATTATCTAAATCTATTTTTCAAAAGAAAAAATAATCTTGTTCTAAAAATTTATTTCAAAATCCAAACATACGGAAAAATAAATCAAAACTATCAGTAGATATAATTTTAAATTAATTGGATGAGAATTTAAAAAAAATGATAAACGAAAGTAGTAAATTTTAAATAATAAAAATAATTAACGAAAAACACTAAAAGAAAAGGAGACCAAATTATGATATAATTAAAGTTTGCAATTGAAAAAAAAAAAGAGAATTAAAAAAATGATAAATTAAAGTAGTAAATTTTAAATAATAAAAATAATTAACAAATTAAAGTTTGGAATTGAAAAAAAGAGAGAATTTAAAAAAATGACAACTTAAAGTAGTAAATTTTAAATAATAAAAAAGATTAATAAAAAACTATAAAACAAAATGAGATCAAATCATAATAAAATTAAAGTTTGAAATTAAAAAAAAAAGTATCGAAAATTTGAGGACCAAAGTGTTACAAAATGACATGAATAGTAAAAGGAATAGTGATTTATGAGTGTGTGAATAGTGATTTGTGAGTGAATAAATAGTATTTCAAATAATGAGTGAATAGTAAATAAAGATTTTTCTTTAGTTATATTGATAATAATTTGGTGAATATTTGTTTATTTGTATACAAAATAGGAAGTAGCACTCGAAGCCGCCACCAGGAAGATCCAAATATGCTAAAAGGTTAAAAATGATGAAGGAAATCGAAGCTGGCAAAATCGACACACACAAAAGCATTAAATGCTTGGCGGAAGAATAAAAAGGAAACGTCTAAACACCACGCATGTCCAAGGAAAAATCAGGCAGGGATGAAAACGTAAAGCACAAATAGCTCTCAAGGGCATAAATGAAATGACAAAGAAACGAAAGTGCAAAAAAACAAAAACTAAATTTTGAACAACAAAAAAAATACAGCTGCAGTGCCACCTACGGCGGAGCGCCTCCTCCTCTACGATAAACAAACAGTGAAACCACAGACAAAGCAAGATAAATGAATAGTAACGTGTACACTAAATATATTTTTTGTTTTAATATTATTAGTAATTAGTAATATTTTAATTTACAAATAAATTTTAAGCCCTAGCTTTTATATTTTCATTTTGCTCTGGTTGTCCGATAACAGTTTAAGAAAGAGACTAAGTCTTTTTTAGTCTTCAAATCGATTTATTTTTAATTGCCCTTTATTATTTACCTTGCATTAGAGCATTTCATGCATTTAAATTCCTGTCTTTTTTTTTTTTATAACAAAATTAGTCTGGTAGAATCCGAACTCGTACCTTTTGTTATAAGAGACTATTATTATTGAGCTACAAGCTCTTTAATGTCTTTTTTTCTCTCATTTCATGAATAACAACATTGCAAATTTTATATTGTTTGTTTACTTGTCTATTCTTTTTTATTAAATATCTTACTCATATTATTAATTAGATGTATTTACGTACTAAATGGTGAGGAAATAGTGAGCATTTAAACAACAATTTTTTTTTTTATCTCATCTTATTTTAGATAGTTTAATTTAGACATTTTGAAATTTATGAAATTCATGAACAATATTTAAAAGGAAACAATATTACAGGTAAATTTAAAATATGTCGACACATGGTTATAGATAACCGCTTTTCAAATGAGCCTTGTAAGGATGTTAACGACTTTCTCACAGACAAACGAACTCTTTAACCTCAAATTTAGTTTATGCGCACTGATAAATTTTATTAACTAAAATAGATTTAGGTTCTTGTTAAGCTCAATAAAATTTGTTATGCAGCCCATCATACCAAGAAAAAAAAAGAATAAATTATAAATTACTCTATTTAGTTTTGAGAAATAAATTAATTAGTCTTTTTTATTTTAAATCTAATAATAATTATTATTATAATTATTATTTTTAGTTTATGTTCTTTTATAATTTGTTTTGCTTTTTGGTTTTAAAAATTAGAAAAAAAATAGATATTATGAAAATATTGATGAACAAAAAAATATTTTTTAAAATAAAATTAAATTAATTGTAGTCCGAACTAGTTAAAAAAATAGATTTTAAAATAAAAAGAATCAATTAATTTATTATTCAAAATTAGAAAGATTGATTCATAGTTTACCCGACAAATTATCTTCGTCGGCATGCCTCTACAAGACAGTTTAGAAGAGGGCAAGCGGATATCATTTCTTTGGCCATTTTTTTTTCTTTTTTGCTTTTGATTATATAGAATTCTTTTTTTTTTTTTTTTTTTTTGAATTTAGAGATAAAAGAAGAAGAAGATTGACAAAAAAAAAAATACTGTTCATTTCCCTCAGTTCATTATTCATTATTGTTCAAAGATTGACAATTTTATGATTTTTTATAATGCTATTTTCATAAAAATTTTTTATAGTTTTTTGGGCATTCATTTTTAAATTTTACACTTTATTTCTTTTTGATCCCTCATGTTTTCAAAATTTATTTTTAAATCCTCATATTCTTAAGAGTATTTTGAGATCTCATGTTTTTAACTTAGTCCCTTTTTGTCCCACATTTTTTCAAATATATATTTTTTATTCCTCATATTTTTAAAGATGTTTTTGGCCTTTTATGTTTTTAAATTTTAGAATAAACATATATATCAAATTATATTTTTTTTATTGATTAAAATTAATTTCTTAAATTTGTCATTTATTATAAAAATTCTCATCAAATTAAAATTTTCATTTTTTTAATGAAATTTTATATATTAATAAATATGATTTATCTTTCTCTGTGTCTAAATTTTTAATATATATTTTTAATAAATAATAGAATTCACGTGTTTCTTTACCTTATTCTTGATATAATCAATTTTTTTGAAATAAAATTTTAAATTATTTTTATTGCACTCTATTAACTTTAATATATTTCTTAGAACTTATTTTTTTTTAAATATATATATTTTAATTCGTACGTAATAAGGTAATAATGTATACAAAAAAGTATTGAGATCATTTATTTTATTAAAAATTAATTATGCATCTACATATATAATACAAACTATTTTCTATTAATTATTTTTAATATTATAAATTTAATTTATTTTAAATAAAATAGTATTTTGAAAGAACCATCTAATAATTCATTACATGTTTTTGCACCTAATATTATTAATTTTTTTGTGTATGTGTGTCTCTATATCAAATGTACATATTTTTGAAATGTTTAAAAAGATTCATTAGTTAATTTTTATACAAATTTTTATATTGATTGTTACTATATTTCTCCGATGTAATCTTATAAAAAAATATTAAGATATTTTTAAACAATTTATATTACTGTAGGTTTTTTATTTAAGAATAGATGAATAAAAAAAAAGAATTGTATTTTTTTAATAACAAAATATATGAAAAACATAAAGAAGCACGAATGAAATACAAAATTTGATTAAAAATTATGAAATTAAATAAAATTTTTATCTTTTATTTTCAATTTAATATCTATTAGTACAATAAATAAATAAATAAATAAAAGAATTGAGATATTTACTATTCATTTGCTATTGTTTTAGACTCACTCTATTTTTTTCTCGTATTTTGTCAAAATATATTTTTTGTTTCTCATATTTTTAAATGATGTTTTTGGTCTCTTATGTTTTTAGATTTTAAAACAAACACATATATCGAATGATATTTTTTTATTGATTAAAATTAATCTCTTAAATTTGTCTTTTATTATAAAAATTCTCATCAAATTAAATTTTTTATTTTTTATAAAATTTTATTTATTAATAAATATGATTTATCTTTCTCTCGTGTATAAATTTTTAATATGTTCTTTTTTCAATAAATAATAGAATTCACATGTTTCTTTACCTTATTTTTGATATAATCAATTTTTTTAAATAAAATTTTAAATTATTTTTATTGCATTCTATTAACTTTTAATATATTTCTTACAACCGAGATTTTTTTAAACATATATTTTTTAATTTGTATAGCGTATGTTAATAATGTATATAAAAAAGTATTGAGATTATTGATTTTATTAAAAATTAATTATATATCTACACTAAAACTAACTATTTTCTATTAATTATTTTAAATAAAATAGTATTTTAAAAGAACCATCTAATAATTCAAATATATTTTTTTATACGTAATATTATTTATTGTTTTGTGTGTGTGTGTGTGTCTATATATCAAATGTACATATTTTTAAAAAGTTTTAAAAGATTCATTAGTTAATTTTTATACAAATTTTTATATTAATTGCTGATATATTTCTTCGATGTAATCTTATAAAAAAAATATTAAGATATTTTTAAAAATTTTATATTTATATTATTGTAGGTTTTTATTTAAGAACGAACAAATAAAAAAAATGAATCTTTTTTTTTTTTTTAACAACAAAATCTATGAAAAACATAAAGAAGCACGGATGAAATATAAAATTTGATTAAAAATTATGAAATTAAATAAAATTTTTATCCTTTATTTTTAATTCAATAGATATTAATGGGAAAAAACTAAAAGAAACAAGATATATACTATTCATTCACTATTGTTTTAAGCTTAGATTCACTATTCATTATGTTGTTTGACTTTTTGCCTCTTACCTTTTTGTTAATTTCTTTTTTTGCCACTCGATGGATTGGAGAAACGCCATTTTTACACTTAACTAATTCTCTTTCTAATTTTCTTTTTGGGTCTTTTTCTGTCATTTCCTCCTTTTTTTTTATTAGATTAAACATTTAATGCTCTTGTCTTCTTTCAATGTTTTTTCCTTCTTATTTTCGGCAGGGAAACCAAAGCCACTTACTATTCCAAAGTGATTATAAATTAATCCCTCTTTCTTCGAGAAATAAATTAATTAATCCCTTTGATTCAAAAACTAATTTTCCCTTTTTTCTATTTTATTGTTTTTATTTTATTTTTTTAAGAAATAGAGAAAGAATAAAAAAAAGTAAAAATAAAAAAGGTATTTTATAAAATAAAAAATAAATTATTCATGGTCAACACTCGATTAAAAAAATTAAAAAATTTATTTTTGAAATAAAGAGAATTAATTAATTCATTTCTTAAAATGAGATGAACTAATTTATAATTTAATTTGCGATTCAAAAATCTTTTTCATCATAGATTATGAAGTAAAATTTATTAGAACCAATTTCATAGTCGTTTTTATTTCAATTCATTGACTTTAATATATTCTATACAACTTAAATAGTTTTTTCTTTTAAATGTTTGTTTATACATTAGTTTAATATAAAAAGGAATAAAACTAATTGTGTGTGTGTGTCTATATACATATATCATTAGTTTTATTGAAAATTAATTATGTATCTCGTATACATAATACTAATTATTCGTTATTTATTCCTTTTTATATTCTAAAATTAATTTTTTAGATAAAATAATTGAAATATGTATAATTAGTTTTGTTAGAAATTAATTATGTATCCGCACACATAATACAATTATTTATTATTTTTTAAGTTCTAAAATCAATAATTTTAAATGAAATAATTAAAATAATATTTTAAAAGAACTTTTCAATTATTCAAATACAACTTTTTATGTTAATATTACTGATTATTTTTTTAATATATATAAATTAAATGATTTTGCTCAACTAATAAATTTAATTTATATTAATTACGATATAAAATTTTTATCCGTACTATATCATATAAATCATTGACCTTACGTATATAACGATTATCCAATTATAATATAATACGGATATCCAACTAGTTGATAGTAGCTAAACTACAACTCATTTACAGTATTCCTAAATTGTTAGTCATATCAATAACATTAACTGGAGAAGATAAATCAATATTTGGTAGCATAAAAAAATGAAATGAAAAATTATTACAGCCCATTAATTGGATTTATAGAAAACGTGGCACAACAGAATGCCGCATAGCAGAAAACACCTATGAATCAACCCAATAGCCCCACCATGACCACCAAAATTTGCAACCAAAGCCACAAGCCAGATAAAAGAACATCCTTGGACTAGCTAGAAACATCTCAAAAACAAACATGTTTGCTTACTTACATGGTCAACTCTCCACAACCTAAACAGCAACAACAAGAAGTACAAGAAGCAGAAACAGTGTCTTATATTATCCTACACCACACTCCCTGCTTAAAATGTGCACCCTCCTCAACTCAAGGCCACTAACACCACCACCACCATGCCTCACCTCAAATTTCCACTTCTCTTCTCCATCTTGCACTCTCTTTCACTACAGCTTTAGACACAACAAGAGATTTCATTTCTTAACTCCATGTTCTTCTTTAAAACAAACAAAGAAACAACAGCAGACTCTTAGAAAGACTAATGCCCCACAAAGTTTGAAGTGGTTCTTGAATCCAAAAGGTGATGATAATGATGAAAAGATTAAAGGTGATGGTGGTGAATTGGAAGAGGGATTGGAAGGAGACTCCGCATTTAAAGGTACTCTTTTAGCTGGAGTCTTGTTGGTTGGTGTTGTTGGTGGGTTTGGTGCTGTTGGGTATATCTATAAGGACCAGATCAATGCTTTCTTGAACCAGTTTTCTGGCTTTATTGAAGGTAATTTTTCTTTTGTGAATTGGGGTTCTTTATTTTACTTCATTGCTTATGCATTTTGTTAACTATTGATAGAAATTCGGTATCTTTGGAGTCCTTTTTAAGAGTTCAATTACCCACTGTGGGATTTTAGAAGAAATTTGGCTTCTTGAAGCAGGAAATTTTAATGGAAAGACACATTTGAGATTCTCAGTGAATTTTCTTGCAATTGGAATAAGTTTTAGTTATAAATTAAAACTCTGTTGAATTATTTTTGGTAAGCTCGGTGTAGGCGTGATATTATAGTAATGAGATGGAATTGCTGAGAGTTATATGTAGATGGGAATTTTTTTAAAAAATTTGGAATTCAATTTCGACCAAGTGGATCAACAGTTTCTGCGTTGAAGTTTAAAATTGTGTTTTTCTGTATCAAGTTGAATCTTTGCATGAAATTGTGTTTTTCAGTATCAAGTTATTATCTTTGGTTTGATGTCCAAAACGTCTTTTGATAAGCCTCCAGCTGTTAGATTAACATTTTTTTTTGTAAATATCTTTCTTGGAAAGCTGCATAAGATTGTCAAAGGTGACATGGAGGATCAGGGGCTTTAAATTTATGAAGAAATTAACCTTGTATGAGAGACTTGATGGTTTAGAATGTCAAAATTTGGTCATAATTGTGTGAAGAAAAAAGAGATTTTAAACGAAATTGATGATGTATGTTGAAACAACAGTGAAGACGAGTTTTCTAATGAGTAATTAGTTAGAAGAGTTAAATTGAAAAATGACTTTGAAATTGTCTAGTGTGTTTGAATGGAGCAGAATCATAGATTCAAATAACAGCCGTTATATAATGATTTCAGGGTATCCCGTTATTGTTATTCGGTATTGTAGGGGTCCCATTGATGTTTCACGTGAATAAAGGTGAATAATGGCATTACCATTATGTAACGCTGTTATATAATGGCGTTATAAAACCCAAAATTTCTGCCTTTGCACTTTGCAGTCTATTTACGAGATGTTATTAGTATGCTTAATTAGTAAAACTGTTAAAAATATGTGAATTAGAATAAATTTATTAACAGTTGCTAATGTATTCATGACATTGGTTGCCGTGACCATTATTTTATTACCGTGATAAGTTGTGACCCATGATCGTGATCATGATCGTTTTTTCAACTGTGTCTGCAATTTAAAACTATGAGCAGAATTCTAGAGAACTGTTCCAGGATAAGGTTATTGTCCGGTATCTCATCCTTTAGTTTGCCAAGGACTTTCAAAAGCAGAATTGAATGTGATTTGAAGCCCTTTTGAGCTGATTTTTATTTTTTTGTTTTTCTTCTTTCTTATAGAGTTAAAACGCTGGGTTAAAGTGGTTCTAGGGTGGAGACTATAATACTCTGTTTCTCCTTTTGGGGAGGAAGAGTTGAGGGCTGGTTTGAAAATGAGAGGGAAGGAGGCTAATGTTCCTGATTTACTTAGCCTTTTTTGGAGTCATCAGAAATAGGATATTATTAAGGATGATCGTATAGGCTAGTATAAGAGTTTTTGCAAATGGTGTTCTAGAGAGGAGCATGAATTTACTTTGACCACCTTGGGTTCTAAAAATAATTCTCTTTTGATCTCTTTTGAATGTAAATATGCTTTCTCCTTGGTATGAATCCCTTTTTTATAAGTTTTTGGAATCCTGTAGTGGAAAGAGTCTACTAGGACCTTAATGTATGGAAAAGTGCTTTCTTTTCAGTATTTATTTTAATGAGTTTTCCTTATCCAGGTTTCCTTATTCAGTATTTATCTTTAGCACTTTTGTTTGATTATTTATCTTTATTACTTTTGATCAATGCCCTGTGGGCTGCAAGAAGGATTTGAGAAGGTAATGGGGGATGGGGGATTTCTAACGTCCAAAACGGAAGATGGGAGTGAGATTATCTGGTAAATTGAGAAATTAGTTGTAAGTGCCTGAGACAAAGGGGCCTAGGCCTTGGTAAATTGGTGGCTGGCAACGTCATATTGGTAGGGAAATGGGTATGGTGGCTTACTTGAGAACCTTGTTTTATTTGGCTTGAGGTGATTTGAAGCAAGTGTGGTTAGAGTAAAGTAATGGGATGCCATGGTTGGAGTTAAATCCACAAACTTGATGAATTTTGGTTTAATTGTTTTAGGAAAGTGAAGGTTCACATGGAAAACCATGCTACTGTATTTAATGCAGAGTATTGGATGGAGCAAAATAGAGATGTTTTTTAGACATTCATATGCATGACCTTTGCTTTGAGCACTAACCTCCTAATCCAAATGAAAGGGTTTAGTTCTGCTTGTTCTTACTGTTTATGTTTTGAGACGGATAGAGAATATAGTAGAATGTAGGCTTTCATTTAATTTGTATTTTAATTAATGCACTTTTTGGAGTCTCATATGGTTCTTTGTGGACAGGTTATGGACCAGCTGGATATGCTTTATTTATAGCAGTTTATGCAGGATTGGAAGTATGCATTCTATCCTCTTTCTGACCAAAGTACTACAGTCTACTTTGGTGGGATTTTAATTGAATAATTGGCTTTTTGAATAAGATTGGACACAATTTACCCCAATATGAGCCAGTTTGAATTGCTTCTGTTATCTATCTAGAAGGGCAAAGGAAAAAAATAATAATAATAAAAAAAGAAGAATTCTGTGTGCGCGCAACACCACAACCTAAAGGCTTGTTATTGTGCAAGTATGCACACACACACACACGCACACACACACATTAATGAAAGAAGAGGAAGAAGATACAAGTAGACCTATATATCTTTGTGAGCACATGATTTTCATTTTAAGGGCTGCGTTTTCTGAATCCAACATCCTTATGATTGCTTTGTTCATTAATAGTTATTATTTGCTGAAAACTGATTTGAAGTAACCCATCCTCTGCTAGATCCTTGCAATTCCAGCCATTCCATTAACCATGTCAGCAGGTCTTCTTTTTGGCTCTCTTATTGGCACCGTTATTGTCTCCATAAGTGGAACGGTAAGCCTGCTTGTTTTTATTACAAACTGGTGGAAGAAATGACCTTGTGTTCTGAAAGCTACATCTGATAATCATTTATGTTTGCAGGTTGCTGCAAGCATCGCATTTCTGATAGCTAGATATTTTGCTCGTGAGCGCATTCTAAAACTGGTTGAAGGAAATAAAAATTTCTTGCAATTGACAAAGCAATTGGGGAAAATGGGTTCAAAGTTGTTACACTTCTTCGTTTGAGCCCTTTGCTTCCATTTTCTCTTGGGAATTATTTGTACGGATTGACATCTGTTAAGTTTGTTCCATATGTCTTGGGAAGGTCTGCATGTTCTCCATCTTCTTTAATGCTTGCTTTTAAAGCTGATTTTCTACATTATTAGTATTGTTATCTGATTCCCATTTAGTTGTTGCAACTAGCCTGAAGTTTGATTGCCAGTTCTTTGCACTTTATTACCTGCTTTCTTTTTAGATGATTCAGTTGCGAACAGTGAACCCCTGGATGGTTGGTGTCTCTTGCTTAAAATTTGTGGTGGTGCAATTGTATTTTATCATTGACTAGTATATGGAAGGCTGGAATGGCATCATGTTATGTCTGGGTTTTTATTCTTTGCCCTGATGATAGCTTGATTCCAGTTCTGAATGATATTCATATTGCCAAAGCATACATTTTTGCTGATATAATATACATTTCTAGGTTTATTTAAACGTAGTGATTTTTTTTTAATCAGCTGAAACATCTAATAGAATGAGAATATTTTGAAGTTCTATCTTCAACAAAATTGCAAATGTGTATGCAAATTTTCCTCATAGGCTACTCTGTAAATGTGATAATTAACTTCCATATTTTTGTGGCTCGAAATTTCAAGATTATTTATTTTTGCATGAGATTTTGTTCTTGGTTGGAAGCCTAAGCCAAGAAGGTATGACCGTGCTCTGCTGTGTGTTATAAATTCATAAAACACCTGTAACAATTGCCAAAACTTTGTTAGAATGTATCCTACTATGTAATTATAATCGTTTCCATCATTAGCATGATGTCACTGATGATGGGTAGTGTTTTTGGTTCTTGTTTTCTGGGGATTTTGATTAATTAGGGTTTTGTGCTCTGATTCCAAGTTGTAAAACTGAACATGTAAGAGATGCAAACTAGGTTTTTAGAAGTGGAAAGTGCTGTCTTTTCACTTTACCTCCTATATTATATTGGAAGGATTGGTGTACATGATATGACATAAATGTGCTAATAAACTTTGCTGCTTAATTTATATGTAATGGCTGTCAACACTTTCTAATTAAGATTCAATTGGCATGCAGTTGGTTGGGGATGATTCCTGGAACATGGGCTTATGTGAGTGCTGGTGCATTTGGCCGGGCAATTATTGTGAGTTTCTCCTGACTTTTCTGCTATATTGTGAATTCTAGACATATTTGGGCAACAATTCCGAGGTTGAGTTCTTGCGTTTCAAATCAATTTTATTCTCTTTGACACTGAAAAGTGTAAATAAAAAGTAAGAATTAGAATAGGCTTAATGAGCATGTGCTCTTAATGGTGAGTGCCACCATAGCATTAACAAATAAAAGCCTCGGCAGAATGGCAGTCTTCAGGATGGAGAAATCATAAGTTCTGAGCTTCTTTGAGGTCCAGTCATCTTGACCAAGCCAAGCTCGTCTCTCTAAATTAGCTAACCCAAAACCCATAATGGAGACAATGCCATTCTACAAGCTTTCAAGAAGTGAAAGGAAATGCGATGTAGAACAGAAAGAGAAGGGAAATAGGGAAGAGAAAATGAAGGTAGAGATGGGGCAGGAGAAATAAGTAGCAGAGAGAATGGCAAAGAAACTACGTTAGGTGCATTATACAGAGGCACCAAAGAAACATAGAATTTTAAAATCAGCCAAACTAGGTATCAGTTATTTTCCTCCTACTATAAAAATAGCAAAGATCTCAAATAGGTGCTTCATCAAAATGTTTATGTAACTATAAAAAAGGGTTAAAAGGAAAGAAAGAAAAAGACAGTGAGCTAATGAGGTAACCTGTAATTTATAAGCAGTTTGTGTTCTCTTTACTAGGAGCCCTACAATGATATAATAATAAGAACAACAACGAATACATCATATTAGTACCAGAAAGACCTGATTTGCATTTTCTAATTGTATGCAATTCAGCCTCTGTACTGATCATGGAGGTTATAGGTGAGGAAGAAAGGAATAAATTCCTATCAGATGCTAACCTCATATGCTAGTATATAATAATCTGTATATGCGATATCCACACAGAGATAAGGAACAGCTTGATTGATCACCTTTCGTGCTCAATGCTATTTTTGTGATGTTTCAGCAAGACGAATCTGAGCTTGGATTAGGTGGAGGTAATGGTGGGCTTTGGACTCTTGGACTGGGATTATTGGCCACAGCTATTGCTGCAACTTATGTAACACAGCTTGCGAAGGTAAGACATCATTAATGAGAACCTTCAAAACCTTGAAATAATTTTCTATACCTAAGGGATGCTTAGCTAGTAGAGGTAATGGTAACGAAGGTAATGGTTTTGTTATCTATTCTCATGGGAAGTCATACCTAGATTATTAAATATATTTCCCTCAATACTGGTCTGATGCTTCATATCAAATGAGTAAATGACTGAACAGTGGTATATAGCATGGAACTCTTGCATGATTCTGAGTAGAATGGAACCCACTCTGAAGCCAAATTGGTTTAATATTTTCTCCTTGTTTCAAACTCATACCACCAAACTTAATACTGCCCAGCCAAACATGATTATTATGATCAAAAGAGCACTCCAACGTCCCCCACCCCCACCAAAAAAAAAAAAAAAAAAGAAAGGGAAGATAAATAGAAAGATGGAGGGGTTAAGAGCAATAAAATGTACTACCTAGTATAAAATACAAGTTACAATGGCAATAGTAAATTAATAATTCTACAACTAAAATCTCTTTTAAGTAGATTCCACACCACTTATGATTCGTGTAAAAGGAACTGTTAGTGAACTTAAAAGCTCAAATGGAGTAAGACTAGATTAATAAAATCATGACACAATGAACTATGTCCATACAAAAATTTGTAGGGTTCGAGGAGCAGGTCAACTAGGGTAAATTCTTAAATTGCTGCCACTGGTATCCAGTCCTCTCACTAATTGTTTCTTCTTGTGCATGCATCCTCCGGCTGGTAAAGCATGAGGAACTATATTGGAATATCTAAATATAACATGTTTGATAAATTATTCTCTACAAATAGATGTTTCTCAGTTCCTCCAATTTCATTTTTCATGGAATGGCTCTTGGATCGAAAGTAAAATTTAATAATTAATTAATACAATTTTTTGGAGTTCCGTTAATTTGGATTTCCTTTTTCATTTTTTTTTTTTTAAAGACATGCTTTATTTGGTTAGGATGGTAATGTTCCTTACTTGTGTTTGATTTTATGCTTCTCTTTTAATTATGCAGGATGCTGTAAAAGATATTGAGTAGAAAGTAGAACATATGGAGTAGAAAAAAGATGAGCTTTGTGCCCTTGCCAATTGTATGTATAACACTGTAATTGAAACTGTAAGATGACTGGTGCATCACCATCTTGTAAATCCAAGTATATAATTTGAACCAAGGCTATCAAATAGGACAGTTTTTTGGCCATTTAGGTTTTTTGTTACACAGATAAATAAGTAGAGGGAATTTTTTTTTTCTTTTTTTTTTTTTCATGCTTCCAGATTTGTGAATTTATGATCTTTTCTTCACCAATTCCCTCATCTCAGTTCTTGTGGACGATTTCATTTTTCTTTTCCACTCACATGCAAACCTTCCTACATTTTATGTGGATGTTGATTATGATTAGAGCAGTAAAAGCTACATAGAAATAGTATGGGTTGAGTTAACCTCCTTTTTTTTTTTTTTTTAAAAAAAAAAAAAAACCAAAACAGGCCCCCTTTTTGTGAGAATTATTATTATTATCATCATTTATTTGTTATTTGAGGGGAGGTTGATTTCTTAAGTTTGAGTGTAGACAGATTTTATTTTTTATTTTTATGATTGTATAGAAGAGGTTTTAGCTCGACACTATCATAAGAATTGAGGGATTTCAATGCCAATTGAGTTACAGACTATAGCTATTGACTGGGAAGGAAAACTTTGAATGTTGGTTCGAAATTTGATTTGGGGTTCTCTCGAAGCTCTTATGAAGTCCATTGTTCTTTTAAGTACACCTGCATGCGATTTCCAGTTACTTTGGAATTCGAAATAAAACAAGATAGATCGACAATGTTTAGAAAGGATAAGTTTTGTAAGTTAATTGAGCATTTCTTATTTCTCGAGAAATTTAATTTTTATTAGACTTGTGTCATATATATAATAAAATTCTTTCTTTTCCATTTCTCTTCTTTTTTTCATTTTTTGAATGTTTTTTTTTATCTGTTATTAATAAATCTGCCAATAAAATTTTTAGATAGTTGTTTACAGTACATTAAGTGTTACAAATCAAAGTCTTAAGGATAAATAAATACCGGGAAAAATATTCATGAATATGGTCGGTAATTAAATAAATATGAAAATGACAATTATTTCATGTGTTTTATTATTTTTCTTTCTTTACAGCGATTTGAAATTAATTTTTAATTGTTTTTTTTTATAAGCATTCAAATCGTTCTAAAAATATTCGTATGTAGAATTTTCCGAACTGTTTCCGATGAAGTGTCATTTAAAAACAATTGCATTACACAAATATTTTTAAAAATAGCTGATCATCTCAAAGTAAAAACTGATCAAAATATGCATGGCTCTCTTCTTATTAAAAAAACAAAACAGATAATGAGTCTCAAAGATCAATTGACATTTTGTACTACACCTCCCCTACAAGTAAAAGACGTAATTATCTACAGATAATGAGTTATAAAAAAAAAAATAAATAAAAATTTAAAAAGGGCAAGGAAACATGGAGTCAGTCAGGGAGGCAAGCGCAGCTCATCGTGACTTCATCATGACTGCATGCATACGTAGCTGCATTTACCCATTCTGACGGCCTCTGGCCTTTCCAGGTGTCCTGTTGATGACAAATTTGGCAATGACAAGTGTTTTTCCTTTATGACCTAGAAAGAAGCAAAATCTTATTAACAACTTTAGAAGTCAGAGAGATCACATGAAAGAAAGTGCTCAAGGTCTGCCACGACTTCACCTACATGCAAATCTGGTTAATTTTGTACAATTTTAAATCCACATGTCGTGATGTTATGGATATATATGTCAAGTTTCTAAGGAAGCCCTAGTTCCTTAGGAGAGCATGTAAGAATTGCTTACCTTATAATATTGCCATACAATACATACATATATATATATATACACCTAGCTAGTTTACTGCTTGGCCTGCTTGTATGTATCGAAGATCAAGCTGAGGTCTGTGTATAATTGCCAGAAAAAAATAAAAAAATAAAAAACCTTTCAAATTCCAAAACTTCCGAGCCTTTATTTATGTAGAGCTTCTTATTTATTACTCCTCCTCGATGGCATATTGGTCTCCTGCACTTGCCATGAAAGCTTACTTGGACACTCTTCATCTGGTATGTTTTCTTTTCAACTGTTCTTTTAGAAAGACTTGATACATCATTGAAGTGTTAAACTGCTGGATTCTATGTCCCATTTAGAATCCCATAAATTATTTGCAGCATTACATATAATTAAGAGTGTTTAATATTGGAAAAACTGTCATTTAATTAGTTTCTGAAATTAGTATTAGTGCATATATAAATGTATGTATGGTGTCAGACATAAATGTTTTTGATAACGCAAGTAATTAAATTCTAACTTTTTTCTTTAGTGTTTTTAGTGAATTAAAAAGCAGTAGGTTTTCTGCTGCATTGAATCTCATGCAACCTAATTAATCTCACCATGAATTAATATTGTTATTTTTTAAAAATATTTCAGTGCAGGAAACACAGTGATGAAGACAGCTCAAATGGAAGTACAACACTGGTTGAACCAAAATGGATGGAGTTCATATCAGCTTTGGCAGCCGGAAAGAGAGCAAGAATGATGGTGGAGATAGCCTCAGAAGGCATATCACCACTAACAATATCTCTGGCTGTGGCAGCGAAGCACACAGGAGGGAAACTTGTATGCATTCTTTTTCGTCAAGAAGATATAAAGAAAAGCAAGCAACGTTTAAAAGTTTATGATTCACATCTCCAAGATGTGATTCAATTTGTCCATGGAAATCCTTTGGAAGTGATCATGAAGTACAAGAACATAGACCTTATTGTGATTGATGGCAAGTTAACATTAGAGAATGATTCTGACTTAAAAATATGGTTCAAAAGAATTCATTTCAAACCAAGTGGCGATGGGGCTATTTTAGTAAGGCACAATACAAGACATGGAGTTTCTTTTTCTGACGTTTTGAATGGAAATGCAGGGGTTCGATCTGAGACTCTGCCTATGGGAGAAGGCATGGAGTTGATAAGAATTCGATCGGTCACTAAGCGTGAGAATAGGAGATGCAAGAGATTTCATGTAACATTTGAGAATTGAACCTATATATATATCTAGAATTGCAATTCTCTTTGTGTATATAGAAGAAAGAAAGTGCTACGCATGCACGTTGTCTAATACATACATGAATAAGGAAATCCTGATTTTTAATATATCTATGGCATCGGCATGCATCATCATATTTCTCATAAATTTATACCATATTAAATATTATAATAGATAAGTAGCCAGATAATTTACGATTATCCAAAAAAAAAATAAAAAAAAATGAAGCATATACAACCTATACAAGAGCTAAAACTTCCGTAATACTGTAGTACTGAGTTTTCAACGCTATATTGTTAGAGACACTATTTTATATTAAATAAATATAAGAATATTAAACAATATAAAAAATTGAGAATGAATTACTCATTAAGGATTATGTTATTTAAATATTTTAAATGAAATCTAAATTTAATTATAAAATTTAATATGATATTAAAAGTTTAACGGCAAAACAAAATTCTAAAACTCAAGTAAACTTTACAAGATAGGTTATAAAATTTAATATGTTTAGTTGGACACTCGATTCTTTTCTTCGGGTTTGAAGTGTTATACTTGTAGGCATAAATGTTGTTCAATATAGCTGATCCAAATGTGATGCCATGTATCCCACAAGGAAGTGGAATTGAAATTCAAAGTTCCACTTATAGACCTAAAGATTGTTCAGTTGTTCAGTTATGCATGATAGGATTGTAATGAGATAGCTATATTGTGATTAGAATAGAATTCTATTATGTCTGTCTTTGTATACATATACTTATCAGATAAAGTCAATCAACACTCTATAACCTAAATACATGTTAATACAAAAAACATTAAATGTGTGGAATTCACACATTGAACTTTTTCAATGCACTGAGTGTTACGCCATTACTATTATGATTTTTTTTTTGTTCATCGGAGGAGAAGAGGTTTTTGTTCATTGAATGAGAATAAATCAATTTTCGTTGACTCCATTCGAAAACTTGAAGAATGAGATGAATCACATTTTAAACAAACAAATATTTAGGAAAAGAAAACAAAATTAATAACATTAATGGCGCATAGCAGAAAATGTAGCAATCCAAAAATTTTGTTTGGCATAGAAAAAAATCTCACACGTAAAACTTATAATACTACGGTAGTATTGGAATTTTACCCACAAGATAACCGTACACACATTGCTAGGAATAAATAGGTTAAATAGTAGCTAAAAAGATGTTTTTTAGGATGTAAATATATATCCAAGAGTGTTGATTTGAGTTGAAGAGGTTTTAATCATTTAAACAAGCAATATTGGATTAGTCTTTATGTATGTAAAAAAAAACCTATAACTCTCTGGATAGCTTTTCTTCATCTTGTGTACTCAACAGAATAGTAAAAGATTATTTTAGAGTTTTACCTATGGAATACTTTGGAGAATAATAAAAAAAAGATATCAATATATTAAATTAGAAATTGACAATATTTCTTCCAAATTCAACTTTTTTTCAGTTTTAAATGGTTAAATCTAGAAGGAAAAAAAAAAGTGATATAAATACCTAAATATATTATATTAGGAATGTGTAAGGTTTTTTTTTTAATAAAGAAAAGAAAACTATGCAATTTTTTTTTTTTAATAGTATTCAAGGGGAGACTACAAAGCATATATATAGACGATTTTGTTTTTTTACATTCAACTGTTGAATTTATTAGCGAGAATGTACAGATTATTATAGCAATAATAATAATATTGTTATAAGTATATGTCTTTCAAGTTTCAAAAAGAAAAAAGAATTAGAAAATTTAAGAACAAAAAACTGTTTCTTGGTCATTGTTAATTATATCCATAAATTTAAAACATATATAGAAGAGCAAAATTAATACTCAAGAATGAGATATTGCGGGAAAAATAAACATAAAAAAAAAAGGAAAAAACAAAATATATAAATTAAAGAGGAAAATTAGGAAATGGGAAAAATAAAAAAGACGAGGCTGCTTGAGCCACCTGTCAAGACAGCCACTGTGGGCTGCATACAGGAATTTTAGCAGGCCAGGCCCAACTCTATCCGGAAAAAGAAAAAAGAAAAAGAAAATCTAAAGGCCACGAAGGATGAACACCGTATGTACATGACCTGTTTAGGGGTCCGGCTTCCCTCCAGTTTTATGTTGCTCCACTTTCCTTAGTTCCTTTGATAGATTTACAACCTCTCATTTAAGAACAAATCGAGGGCTAATATTATTTCAAGCAATCCATTATTTATTTATTTTTCTGAGTCTCTCCCCTTTCTTGGCATATATATTTCTCTCCTCATCTCTTTCTCCTCTCTCAAACTCACTGCAAAAATATGTGAAAAATGATTCCAAAACTTTCAAACGTTCAAGCGTGGATAATAGAGAAAGTTGTGAGTATAGAAAGAATAGTGATCCGAGAGAAGAGTCAGACGTTTTATTTTCCAATATCGAACAAGTACTATTCGAAGTGCTAGAAAGCAAAGACACTTGTATGTTTGGAGGATGATAATTGAAACTTTCTATCGAACCTTTTGATTCCAAAATATAACAAATGGGTACAAGGGTAGTCTATCCTTTACAAAAAGATAAGAAATACTACAGCTGGTCTAACTAATATTTAGTTTTGTAACCCCTTGATCTTCGGCTGTAAGATAATATTTGATTTTGGGATCCCTTGATCTTGGGTTAGAAAGATACTACAGCTGCTCTAACTAATATTTGATTTGGTAATTCCTTGATCTTGGACTATTTGATTTTGTAATTCTTTGATCTTGGACTATATGCTTAACACGCTGATCTTGGAGCGAAGAATACTGATTTGATAATGACTAAGGCTTTTGTAAAAAATATCAACAAGCTGGTCTTTTGTGGAGATATGATGAACCTTGAGGGTACCATTCGCAACACACTCTCATGCAAAGTGATAATCGAGGGAGATACGTACATTTCATTCGCGAATGAAAAACAGAATTTGCACATAGACAAATAGCACCAGTATTATCACAAAATAAAGACAGTGGATGTAGCAATTTACTTCCCAACTCATGAAGCATATCACTATTAAAAAAAAAAAAAAAACAGCAAAATAGCTATGGAAATCAGTAATGGACAACAATTAATCACTAAACAACGACGGATTAATGAATGAGTAACGACAGTTATCAATTTTGATATATTTTAGGATAATAGCGACAAAATACCTTTTGATTAATGACTGAATATCAACAATGGAATACATTCGTCGTTGAATTTAGAGATAAATTTTTGACGATTAAGTTAACGATAGAATATCAACTAATTTGTGGTGGATTGTTGTTTCGTCACTAATTTTGGGAAGATGATTTAACCAAAAAGGAAAAAGAAAAAAGAAAAAACCAACGATGGAAAATGATAAGTAGCGATGGATAGTGGTTTGTCGCTAACTTTTTGGAAAAATTAATACAATTTTAAAATTCAAATAGCGGCGGATACTTACTCTTAGCGATGGAATTGTGTTCGTTGCTATTTATTGAAAAAAATGACTCTATTTCAAAAGTTGAACAACGACGAACACTTGTTTTTAGCTAAGAAATCACGTCCGTCACTCAGAAAAATCCCTAAAAGTTACAAACTCTTCTTCCTCCTCCATTTTTCTCTTCTCCTTCACTCTTAAGCACTGCTGCTCCTCCCAAATCCGACCAAACTCATCTTCGCTCCTCACACACCAATATAAGCCTCCTTTTTTCTTTGTCGAGACAACTTCTTTGTGTTCTGCTAATTACTCAAGGTATTTTATTTATTTCATTTTATCTTTCATGCTATAAATTAATCTTATATTGTTTACTTTGATTTAGGTTAAGTTTAATTTTGTAGTTTATTTTTTTAAAAAATCTAATAAATAAGAAGTTAGGATTTATAAGTATATTGATTTAGTCTTAAAACAATATAAAGAAACTGAGAAAGGGATTGTTAGTTTATTTGAAAAAAAGTCCAATAAATAACATAGTTGTTTACATTACATTAAGGGTTGATAATCGAAGTCCATGGATATATAAATTCCGGAAAAAAATATTCATGAATATGGTCGGTAATTAAATAAATATAAAAATGGCAATTATTTCATTTTTTTTCTTTCTTACAGCGATTTGAAGTTAATTTTTTAATATTTTTTATGAGTATCAAATCGATCGTTCCAAAAATATTCGTAAGTAGAATTTTCCCAACTATTTCCGATGAAGTATCATTTAAAAACAATTGCATTACACAAATGTTTAAAAAATAGTTGATCATCTCAGTAAAAACTGATAAAAATAGGCATGTACTCTCTTCTTATAAAAAAATATAAAACAGATAGTGAGTCTTAACGATCAGTACGTTGACATTTTGTACTACACCTCCCCAACTGGTAAAAGAAGTAATATATATATATATATATATATATATATACACACACACAAACACCTCCAAGGCTCAAACAACAAGGAAACGAAGAGGAAAATATCAACATTTGAATATCAAAAGTCAATTATAAACCACACTAAATACAACGATTTGTTTTTTTCCTAACCTGTTTCATTTTTTATTCATCGCAAGGTTCATTGGATCTGGCCTCTGGGGGCTGGATACCATGGTTATGCAGCTCAAAGAGAAAAAACTAAAAAGGAAAAGGCAAGGAAACAAGGAGTAATGGAGGAAAGTGCAGCTCATCGTAACTTCATCACGACTGCATGCATACGTAGCTGTATTTTCCCATTCTGACAGCCTCTAGCCTTTCCAGGTGTCCTGTTGATGACAATTTTGGCAAAGACAAGTGTTTTTCCTTGTACCTTTATGACCTAGAAAGAAGGAAAATCTTATTAACAACTTTTGAAGTCAGAGCAGTCACATGAAAGGAAGTGCTAAAGATCTGCCACGACTTCACCTACATGCAAATCAGGTTAACTTTGTACAATTTTAAAGCCACATGTCCTGATGTTACGGATATTAATGTCAAGTTTCCAAGGAAGCCCTAGTTCCTTAGGAGAGCATGTAAGAATTGCTTAACTTATAATATTGCCATACTATACATACATATATACATACATACATATATATATATATATATATATATATATATATACACCTAGCTAGGTCACTGCTTGGCCTATTTATGAAGATCAAGCTGATCTGTGTATAATTGGCAGGACAAAAAACCTTCCAAATTCCAACAATTCCGAGCGTTTATTTATATAGAGCTTCTTATATATTACTCCTCCTCGATGGCACACTGGTCTCCTGCAGTTGCCATGAAAGCTTACTTGGACACTCTTCATCTGGTACGTTTTCTTCTTAATTATTCTTCTAGAAAGAATTAATGCATCATTGCAGTATTAAACTGCTGGATTTTATGTCCATTTAGAATCCCAAAAATTATTTGCAGCATTACAAATAATTAAGAGGATTTAAATTGGAAAAAGTATCATTTAATTAGTTTCTGAAATTAATATTTAATGCGTAAATGTATGTATGGTGTTAGACATAAATGTTTTTGATAACGCAAGTAATTAAATTCCAACTTTTTTCTTTTGTGTTTTTAGTGAATTAAAAAGCAGTAGGTTTTCTGCTGCATTGAATCTCATGCAACTTAATTAATCTCATCTTGAATTAATATTGTTATTTTTTAAAAATATTTCAGTGCAGGAAACACAGTGATGAAGACACCTCAAATGGAAGTACAACACTGGTTGAACCAAAATGGATGGAGTTTATATCAGCTTTGGCAGCGGGAAAGAGAGCAAGAATGATGGTGGAGATAGCCTCAGAAGGGATATCATCACTAACAATACCTCTGGGTGTGGCAGCGAAGCACACAGGAGGGAAACTTATTTGCATTCTTGTTCGTCAAGAAGATATAAAGAAAAGCAAGCAACGTTTAAAAGTTTATGATTCACATCTTGAAGATGTGATCCAATTTGTCCATGGAAATCCTTTGGAAGTGATCATGCAGTACAAGAACATAGACCTCATTGTGATTGATGGCAAGTTACCATTAGAGAATGATTCTCACTTAAAAATATGGTTCAAAAGAATTCATTTCAACCCAAGTGGCGATGGGACTATTTTAGTAAGGCACAATACAAGACACGGAGTTTCTTTTTCTGACGTTTTGAATGGAAATGCAGAGGGTCGGTCTGAGACTCTGCCTATAGGAAAAGGCTTGGAGTTGATAAGAATTCGATCGATCACTAAGCGTGAGAATAGGAGATGCAAGAGATTTCATGTAACATTTGAGAATTGAACCTATATATCTAGACAAATGATTAATTGTAATCCTCTTGTGTGAGATTTTTATAAACTAAACTAAATAGGTTTTCATGACGAGTCAAATCTAGTGATATGCTTTTTAACATTAATCATCTAAATGTTTGCTTTGGCATAATTATGTCAATAGGTGTGAGATCTCGGATCGTTATCTTATAACATAAGTATAATACTAACAAGTCTTACCGCATATAGTCAATATTCGTTCTTTACAATGCTACGACTTGGGATATTTAATGATATCATTTAAATGTATTAATATTTATCTCACATCGTTCGATCAATAATTAATGTAATGCATATCATATGGACTATTATCTAATTCTATTCATAAGCATAAACAATAAAAATTATAGAAAGTTTTTTTTATTAATAAAATAAATAATGAAATATTATAATAAGTCAAACCTATCCAAATAAGATTGGATCTAGAACACTTACACTAATAATCTTCCACTTGCACTAAAGCCAACTAGCTATGTCTCTTATTCCCAATGCTCGAGTAAGGATCTCATGTTTCAGCTTTAACAAAGGCTTAGTCAAGGGGTTAGTTATGTTGTCATTAGTGTGGACCTTTTCTATCCTTATATCATCACGACCGATAATCTTTCTAATTAGGTGGTAGCATTGCAGTACATGCTTGGATCGTTGATGAGACCTTGGTTTCTTAGCTAGTGTTACGGCTCCGTTGTTTATCCTTATACAATACTATTAGATCAATAACGCTAGGAATCTTTATACTAAACCTTTTAGTATCATGTTAATGTATTTTTCTTGGGAGACCTCTCATATTCTAAACGATCTATTTCTATAGATCTCGACTCTTAGAATGTCTACTGTCTTCCCATGTCATATATGGAGAAATTATTAAATACATATTCTTTTATAGATTGTAATATGATAATGTTATAACTAAGAAGTAGTTTATTATTATTATTTTTTTTATGTACAATAACCAAGACTAGTAGGCTCCCACTAACCTTTTGTATATACAAAATTCATCTTTGTTTTTGTGAAAAATCAAACCTTTTGATCGTTTCATCAAAATATCGATTCTAATTCATAGAGGCATGCTCAAGTCCATAAACTAACCTTAGTATTTTGCAAATCTTATTTACATGTTCTTTAGTGACAAAACCATCAAGGTGTGTCATCTATACATTTTTTTTTTAATTTGCTATTTCTAGGAGTCAATGTCTAACATTGCAACTTCATAGGTATTAGCTTTGTCATCCTCTTCGTGGTCTTTATCACCATGTGTTGGGACAAGAAGATCGCATCTTTTGTCTTTTGAAAAACTCATTTTAGACTTATGAAGTTCTTGTGTGTTTGACTATGGGGTAGTTACAATATTTTGTAACCTATTTACTTGAGGTTCCAGTAGTGGAGTGTCAATTTGTGAGTCTACTCGAATCTTTTTTAGTTCAAAATTTCCTCCCACTATTTCTACCATTCATAAATTCCTTGTCACGCAATATAGCATGCCTAGTCACGAACAACACTTTATTCTAGTGGTGGAAAAATAATATTCATTTGTTTTTTTTAGATATCTCATGAATTTGCACTTCTTTGTTGTCGGGAGGCTTTTAATGGGTGCACAATAGGCTTTGCCCATTTTCTATCTTTACTCCCCCTTTCCAAGCTTTTATTAATGAATTATGGCTCGTTACCCCTTGTTACTCTTTACTTTTGTGTATAAAGTTACCAAATTTTTACATTTGAATGTATCAATTTTAATTTTTATTATTTAAATATATAAAATTGTAAATTCTTTTCTAGTGGTTCTATTAACGATTGTTAACTTTATGCCGATGTTGTCGTTAAATTCCACTTAACATCGCCATGTGGGCTTCATTATCAAACATGGCAATTATATAAAAAAGAGTTTATTATATATTTGGTGTATAAATTTATTAATTTTTTCTATTTGAGTGTGTAAATTTTAATTTTAATTATTTAAGTATACTAATTTGTAATTTTTCTAATTGAATGGTTTTTGTTAATTTTATACCGATTTGTTCGTTAACTATATGTGTAGTATCATAATGAAAGTCCATTGTTAGATGTATAGCAACTAAAAAACATAAAAAAATGAAAAAATAAAAACCATTCCATTGTCAGATAAAAGCAAATAAATTCATAATAGTAATAAAAATAAAAAAATTACTTAAAAATAACCAAATATAAGAAAAAGATTAAACATTGAAATAAATTTTTTTGACGGATTCATTTATAAAAGCAACAATACATCATCATTTTCAGTAGAAAAGCTAAATTCTAAACACCAAATTTTATAATAAAATTTTCTATAGTCAAATTTTATCCAATCATCAAACTAAACATTGGATTCTTTGCATGATGTAAATTTGATCAATTTATGTTTCGAAATCAAATGGGTCACATGGTGGCAAGGAGCTTTGGTACATGTAGAGCTCATTTGTGGCGATGGTTGGAAGTCGACTGTAACTAGAGCAAGTAATGGTTTGTTGGAAACTACTAACTCAATTATGTCATTTTTTTTCCCTCCTATTTATTATCAGTTTGTCTATATGTCTTGATTTTTTTTTTTAAAATGGTTTGGTAGTACTTGTTGATTCTAGTATGTGGCAATGGGTTTTGATGTTAGTGGTAGTAATGAGTTTTTCTAATTGTAACGGGTGTAGGTTTATTGTTAGGTGGTTATGGTAATTATTGTTGGTGGTTCCTAGTTATTGGGTTTGTTTGCAAATTGTGAAATGTGGCAAGGCGGTTCTGTTGGTCTTTTCGAAAGACGAGAAGGCTAAAGTTTAAATATTGGCTACGGATCTTAGAGTGAATGGATCTGTTTGGAAGATGATGAGGTGAACTTGGATTTTGATTTGGAAAGAAGGATTACCTAATTATGAGTTGAGTAACATAGATTTATTAGAGAAGTTTTTTTTTCTTTTTTCTTTTAACTTTATATATTTATTTTTATTTTTGGATACAAATATTTTTTAAATATATTTTTTAAAATTTTTAATTTGGATCTAACAGATGAGGTGAAGTTTCTAGTTGCCATACATCCGACAATAGGATCTACATGACTATGCAACATAAATGTATCTAGTTAAGAGATACATCGGTCTAGAGTTACCAGAGATGCTCAAACAAAATTACAAGTTGACATACTTAAATAGTAATATTAAAGTTTATGCACTCAAATAAAAATAAATGACAAGTTTATACATCAAATATGTAATAATTTTTTTTTAATTACAAAATGTGTGTGACAAGTAAGGTCTACAATTTCGTGTTACATATGCAGTGAATAGTCACATCGGTATAAAATTAATGAAAGTTAAAGAAACCACTAAAATAAAAAGAAATTGCAGCTCAATATACTCAAATAGTAAAAATTAAAATTGATACACTCAAATAGAATAAAATTAACAACTTTATACACCAAATATATAATTAAATCATTCTTTATTCATAGAAAATATTACTTTAGATTGGCTTCCATTCATAATATAAGAAGTCTTTATTTTTCATATCAACAAAATTCTATCTTTGACACAAAAGAAGGAAAAAAAAAAAAAAGGAGTTTTATCCATCTAAGTTCAAAAGTAGTTGTTTCTATTTTTATAGAAGGTTTGATTTAATGTAAAATACATGTAGTTTGATGAAATTTTTATATGATTTTTTTTTTTTGGCTAGATTTATAGGTTTATTTGATATTATATTTAAATTTTCATATGAATCTTTTTTTTTAATCATAACTATTATAAAAGTACCCACTAAATATTTGATTTGACATAACTATGCTTAAGTTTTAAGAAACATCAAATATATGGAAAGAACTTTATTGATAAATATTAAATATATTATCTTATTTTGTAAAATAAAAAATTCACATGCCGAAATGAAAAAGGCTTCTACTAAATAAAAAGAAAGGATAAGTAGCTCAATTTATTTTTATATAATAACAAGAGTATCCAATCTGTTTTTATATTTTTAATTGTATCTATTTTGTAACTGAATAATGTTTAAATTTTTAATTTATCATTCTAATTAATTTTTTTGATAATATAACAATTTTTTTTAATTATCAAAATGCTCTTAATTAATAATAATAATAATAATAATAATAATAATGCCTTTAAAAATAAAATATGTAAGTTATGTGACTTTAAATAATAGTTATTATTATTATTATTATTATTATTATTTATAATATTTATATATTTTATTTATTTATTTATTTTTGCGTTTCATTCTTGAGGATTTTGGTTGCCACAAAAATCACTAGCTTTAGCACCAACTTGCTATAGAAAGGAGAATTTGCTATCACAATGGCCATGAGATCTAACCGACTTATGGAGCTGAATTTTTCCAAGAGAAAACGCCAGTTTCCATTAATCGACTATACTGTTCCGATTCGTAGCGGCTGTGAGAGATTTTATCATTTTAACACGTCCTACTTTCTTTGAATTTCGAAACTTTTTGGGCCCACTTGGCCGGGTTTCATCAATTATACCGAAATCAAATCTCGGTTGGACTTGAGATTAAGCCCAATTAGATATTATAATCATGGAGTTTGGTTTATTCACAAAGAAATAAAGACGTTGCACCATCAATTTTTTTAAAATTTTTAAAATATGATTACTTTTATATATATATATATATATATATATATGTGTGTGTGTGTGTGTGTTTGTGTCAAATAAGATTATTTTATAATTTTAAGGGATGGATAGTCGTAAAAAAAAAAAAAAATCTCGTTATTAAAGTTTTACTTCTTTCATCTCGTTGGAGTTAGAATCCATTTTCGTCCATTTGTACCCACTGAGAGGGAGGGCGAACTTCATAGAAAAACTCAATATCTCCTATATTTTGCGGATAAAATATTTTCTAGACGATTATAACGAAACCCGGTGTAACCTGGCCAGATGGAGATACTCAAAATTTATATATGTTGCAGGGACACATTAACTAATCCTGTAATTATGAATATAA